ATGAATGCAGTAAGTCCCCAAGTTACATCTGAGTTGTAAACTTTCACAGATGTACTGTATAAGACCAATTTTGTTAAACTTAAGAATGAATCTACTTGCAAATATTCTCCTGGAATGGAACTTGTTTGTAAGTTGGGGTCTTACTGTAGACTGGCTAATGATCTCAAGACTCAAGGAACTACTCATTGGTGAGTCTGTGTGTGTGCACGCATGTGTTCCAGAGTCCTGGCCAAGATATATAAGAGGGAAACACACACACACACACACACACAAAACTAAATGGTACCAAAGAAACCAAGACAAAAAACAAACCCAAGAAAAGCCTGACCACTGTTGCTGAACAGCTGGGAAAAAGTAATCCAGAAAGAAAGAGCTACTTTGCCTACACAAAACTTTACTACAGCTCAACACCAGAATGAAGCTTCTCCCCTCCGCTTCTTCATTGGCACCATGGCCTGGAGATGGGCTGATCTTTCCTTTCCATCCCTTCTTTCAGTAATGGACTACATTCTTCCCCTGTAGCAGAGCCTTGAGCAGAAATTTTAGTGGATTTCTCCTTGCCGGTGTCCAGAAAGAACGGGAACAAGATTATTTTGTAGTGATGAAGGAAGAAAACAGTCAACTCAGAATTCTATATCCAGCAAAAATACCCATCATAAAGACATTATCAGATGAAGGGAAACCAAGACTTTGTTAACCACAGACTTACCTAAAAAAATAAAGGAATTTCTTCAGGCAGAAAAAGAACGAATCTGGGACATCAGAAATGAAGCCTGAACAGAAAATGTAAATATATGACTAAATATGGTAGACTCTTCTTAGGCCTAAATGTTAAATTTGGCTGAAAGCAAAAATTACATGATCTGAAGTGGTTCTCAGTGTAGGTAAGTGTTCTCATTAAAGGTAATAAAGGATAGAGGGGCCTACAAGCTGGTAGTTTCTACATTCCACCTGAAGTGATAAATTATGAACAGATAGTGACTTTTAGAGCAGCTTTCAACTGAGATGATTGTGTCTCGGGTCAGTTAGTGTCTGGAGACAAGATTACAAGTGATACTGCCATCTGGCTGGCCATGGTCAAGGATGTTGCTAAACTTCCCATAATGTGCAGGAAATGCTGAAGAGGTGTAGTGACGCTCAACAACAAGGCCACACACCAAGAGGTCCGACAGGAGACTCTGTTGAGGAGACTTTATTCAGGACAGCAAATCAGAGAGAGGGAGAGAGAGAGAACAAAGAAAGGATGGTCCTTTTATTGGTTTTGGGCTGGGCTATTGCATATCTGTGAGCAGGCAGGCTACTTTTAACCTATCGCGGGCCAGGTTGCGTTTTATGGGTTCAGCCTTGCTGAAGCTTAAACTTCACCTCCCTAAGCTATTGTGGCCTTGCGAGAAGGAAACAGAAGGAAACATAAGATAAGAGCATGATGTCATTTTAAGAACATGAAGAATCCAGAAAATACAACCTGTGATGGCGGCGTCAGGTCCCTAACACTCACACAACAGAGTTATCCAGCCCCAAATACCAAAATGCTGAGATTGAGGAGCACTGCCCTGGAGCAATCATATATAAAACTATACAAAGGTGTATCCTAAACACTAAGTTCAATTAACATGGAATGCATTTCTTAAAACATTCAACTAAATCACAGGAATGTAGGAGAGAGAGCAAAATGAAAGGTTAGAAGGAATTAACCAAACATTAAGGCCATAGACTTAAATTCTAACATAATTGCACTAAACACATCCATTAAAGGAGAAAGGTTGGAAGAATGGGTGAAAGAATATCACTCAACTCTATGTTGTCAACATGAAACTCTTTTGAGATATAGATTAAGAGTAAAAGGGAAAATATTCTTTACAAACATTAATAAAAAGGGAACTAGTGTGGATATATCAATATCAGATGAAGTAGATTTCAGAACAAAACCAGAGCTAGAGAGGATAATTTCTAATGATAAAAGGGACTTTACAATTTACCAAGACAAAAATATCTTAATTATGTGTATCACAACAGAGCAACATACTTGAAGCATCAACTGATGAACTGAAAGGAAACATTTTACCTATCAAATTGGCAGCACTTTGAAATAGTAATATTTGGTACTAGCAAAGTCATGGTGAGGTGCTCAGTAATGTGGAAATATAAACACAGTTCTGAAAAAAGCCCATTTAATTTCTATATGATGAAGGCTTAACTAGTCAGAAAAAATATATATATACGTATATATATATTTTCTTTTTTTTGGTACCAGGGATCGAACTTGGGTCCTCATGCTTGCGAGGCAGGCAGTGAAACCACTGAGCTAAATCCCAGGCCCGTCAGAATATTTTTTTCAACCTAATGTTTCACTTTCAACAATCTCTTCAGAAGTCCCAGTTATCTGTGCAGAGACCTTCATAATGGAGATGTTTACAATAGCAAAATTAGACATCCAAACATCCCACCAATTGACAGATACCTCAGAAATTATTCTATATTCAAGCAGAGTGCTACTTGTTAAAATAACATTTTATAGGATTTACAGTGTCAAGATATAGATGAAAGATTTTAAAGCAAAAATGCAATGTATAATCTAACAAAAGAAGCAAAAGACCTCTACACTGAAAGCTACAGCACTCTGAAAAAAGAGATCGAGGAGGATATAAGAAAATGCAAAGATCTCCCCTGCTCCTGGGTAGGAAGAATCAACATAGTGAAAATAGCCATACTACCAAAACTGCTATACAGATTCAATGCAATATCAATTGAAATCCCAACACTATACTTCACAGACCTAGAAACAAGAATCCAAAAATTCATTTGGAACCATAAGAGACCTAGAATAGCAAAAGCCAGCCTAGGCAACAGACACATGGCAGCGGGTATAACAATTCCCAATTTGAAACTATACTACAAAGCCACTGTGATAAAAACAGCATGGTACTGGCAAAGAAACAGACCTGAGGCTCAGTGGAACAGATTGGGAGACAAAAAAACAACTCCAGATGCACTCAGCTACCTCATCTTTGACAAAGGAGCTGACAGTCCCCACTGGAGGAAAGATAGCCTCTTTAATAAATGGTGTTGGAAAAACTGGATCTCAACCTGAAAAAGATTAAAACTAGACCCTTATCTGTCACCATGCACTAAATTAAAATCCAAATGGATTAAAGATCTAAATAAAAAAACAAAAACACTAAACTTGCTGGAAGATAAGTTAGGCAGAAATCTGGAAGACTCTGGCATAGGAAAAGACTTTATGAACAAATCCTCAGTAGCACAAGAAGTAGCAGAAAGAATCAACAACTGGGATCTCATTTTATTAAGAGGCTTCTGCACTGCAAAAGAAACCATCAACAGAACTAAGAGATAACCTACAATGTGGGAAAAACTTTTTACCAGCTGCTCCTGAGACAAAGGACTATTATCTAAAATATATAAAGAACTCAAAACAATCAGTACCCCCAAATATAAAGACCCAATTCTAAAATGGGCATCTGAAATGAACAGACATTTCTCAGACAAAGAAATAAAAGCAGCAAGTAAATACATCAAAAAATGCTCCACATCACTGGTCATTCGAGAGATGCAGATGAAAACACACCTCACTCCACAAAGAATGGCTGCTATCAAGAAATCACACAACAAAAAATGTTGGCGCGATTGTGGGGAGAAAGGAACACATCTCCATTGTTGGTGGGAGTGCAGACTGGTGCAACCACTATGGAAGTCAATATGGAGATACCTCAAAGAACTAGGATTAGAGGTTCCATTTGACCCAGCCATCCCTCTGTTGGGTATCTTTCCAAAAGAATTAAAAGAATCATACCACAGTGATATATGCACACCAATGTTTATAGTGGCACTGTTTGTAATATCTAAAACTTGGAAACAGCCCATTTTCTCGTCAGTTGGAGACTGGATAAAGAAGATGTGGTTTTTCTATAAAATGGAATACTACTCTGCCATAAATAATGAGAAATTAGATTCATTCATAGGTAAATGGGTACATTTTGAGGATATACTCCTAAGTGAAATAAATAAGTCACACATATGCAAATACCAAACAGTTTCTCTGGTGTGAAAAACTAAAATAGTACTCAAGATCCTAACGGGACAATTAGCAATGTGAAATAGGAAGAAAAGGACCAGGGGTGTAGGAACAGTGAGAAGAATAGGGAAAGGGGAATAAGGGAAAAGGAAAAAAAATGAGAAAATGTAAAAATGGAATTAAAGTGTTTGAAGGTGGGGAGGAGAGGAGGGGTGAAGGGAGAGTGAGGTCAAGGGGAAAAAATGAGAACCAAGACCTGGCATGCAAAGGTACAAGATCCCAGTAATGAATGTAACTGTACTGTCTACCTAGAATGTACCAATAAATTCAATTTAAAATAAAAAAAATGCAATGTATAAAGTTGTATACATAGAGAATAAATTATTAAGATGTTGGAAAAGAGTAACAATAGGAGCAAAGTATTAGCAATGATTATGTAAGCTTTTTCTTTTGTTTTTTCCCAAACTTCCTCTTATAAAATATCAGGCTAATGGCCAAAAAATAAGTTACTTTGAAAAACAGCATAAAAATGAGATGATATACACAAGCATCCAGTATAATGCTAAGTCTAGAACAAAAAATCTCAGTAGGTTGTGCAACTGTTGTAATTAACTTGAAGATTAAAAAAAAATGGTAAAGTATAACTATTATGAAAATGACCATCTGTCTTATATCACCTGTCTCTGTTTCACTGTCCAGGGTAGTTAATATTGTCCCCTATTATTCTCAAGTGGCCCATAGTTTAGAAGATAAGTTGCACAGGTATCTTGAATATTAAAGAGATTACTAATAATAAAATAAATTGCATCCTTACTATACTCCAGGCACTCTACTAAATGATTTACATGAATTTTCTTCATTCTATAGAGATAATGAAAAGTTAAGCAATATGCCCAAGTTCGCGCATTAGCAAGTAGCAGAGAGTGGCTTTGAATGACATCCAATCACATCAGCATCGGACCCTTACCTGGGCCTGCCTCAGTGCAGGATTGGTTGGCAGGGGCCTGGCAGGGCCACTTGGTACCTGAGGGGTCTGGTGGAGGGGTGGGAGCACTCGCTGGGGTGACTGGGGCTGAGGCATGGCAAGGGTGCCGAGGGGTCTGCTGATGTCCACATTCAGACACTGTGGTGGTCTCCTGTCCTGCAGACAAAGCAAAGAGCCTTGCTGTAATGGGGTCCAGCAGTATCAATAAATCTGAGGAAAAGGCAGCACTAACTCATCTTCTGTGGCCAAAGATGGAGGAGGGTAGGCAGAGGAAAGAAGTCCAAGGTATCCGTGAGAAGGAATCTATATTTGTACTCCAAAATTCTAACAAATGCCCCATCACTGCCAACTACACACCAGGACAAATCTGGAGCAGTGATCACCTTTCATTTGTATTTTAAAAACTGGTATAATAAGTAGGTGCAAGACACTCGAGGCAATACCAGAAATGAAGGCACAGATCGAGATTTCAGGGAAGCTACAAAGTTGTATAAACAAGACACAACTTAGTATGTACAAAGCTGAACATGAACACAGAAAACTACTTGGGCAGAATGGAGACTTCAGGAAGCTGGGCCAAGGCCAAGCTGTTTCTGGAGGCCTTGTCTCTCGTGGCTCCCTTGTCTTTAGGGACAGATCAGAACACAGAATGGCCTTGTACTTCAGGCCCTCATGCCTTCTTCTGTCTTCCTCACTTCCTTTTTAAAAATAGCATCTTTGAGGGGTAATTAATATGCAACTGCACATATATAACATGCAGAGTTTGGTAATTTCGGATCTACATTGACATGAAGGAAGCCATCAGACCAAGCACTCAAGAGTTGGATGTAAACAGGATTGTAGAGTCCATACTCTTCTGAATGGCTTCTCTCAGAATAATTTTGAGATTCCCTCCTGACACTTAGGTATACTAGTGATTAATTCCTTGGTATCACTGAGGAACATGTCCCTGTGTAAATATACTGCAGTTTATCCTTTTACCTGCTAGTGGACAGTGGGGTTATTTTCAGCTTTAAAAATAAAGTTGTGCTTTGGCTCTCCAAAACCACATTCTTACATGTAGTCCCAGGTTTGGGGATAAAGGGTGGTAAAGTCTCTGAGGAATCATGGCTGCCTCTTTGAAACCCTACCCTCCCTCTTTCTTGGATCAAGGGAGATCAAATAATTATCTACTGAAGATGTGGTAATGATTTTTTTCAATTATTTATCATTTCCTGACATCAGTCTTGTTCCTTGTTAGAGTTTTGATTACTTCACTAAACTATTCTTTCTTGATAAAAAGGATTGAACCCTTTTGCATTGTGCTTTACCTCTAGCATATTTTATTTTTAAAAATTTTGAGACAGGGTCATCAAAGTCATTAAGTTGCTTGAGCTGGGCTTGAACTTGTGGATTCTCCTGCCTCAGCTTACCAGAGTGCTAGGATTTTAAATGTGTATCAGCACATCTGGCTAATATGCAAGAAATACTATATATAGGGTGGGGAAAAATGAAATATAAGACTATGAACTCCTAAATTCAGGGTAGTAGGAAAATTGATTGTGGGAATCTTAAGGTACTCTCGTTTAAGGATCCAATTCTTTGAAAGAGTGGTGTGCACAGGGCTTCTATAGCTCTGGGCTAAGGCAAAATGGCAAAACTGAGGCTTGGTGAAACTCTTAGAAATGCTCTAGGAGTAACACCAGGCCAAAGCAGCTCATCCAAACCCAGGCAGTGGCCTTGGGACATCGTAGGAGGAGCCTAGTGTCAGGAGTCTTCTCTGACCTGAAGGTCTCCCTGGGAATAGGGCCAGTCTGAGTGATTGAAGGGATCATGACTTAAGAGTGTACATCATGTGGGGGAGAGCAGGCTGTAGTAGGGCTTTGAGGAGGGGGTCACTGTGGATTTTCTCCTAGGCCCTGACCACTACAGAGACTCTTATCAGTAAGGACTGGGGGAGCTAGATATGCTGACCCAGCCTTTCATGGAACATCTATATCCTGTTTCTATTCAGCCTTGTACTGTGGAACCCATTCCTTCAGGAGCATGCTAAGTCCTTACCTTGGCTGTGTTGGAATGTGGTGGCCTACTTGTCAGGCCCTTTCCATGGCGGATGAGGTGAGTCTGGCCAGGATGGGAGCCACTGGTTGGTCGGGAAGAGCGCACACACCTGCAAGGTACCATGAACCTGCTGACTAAAGGGCCTTCCTCTTCTTGGATTTTGTTTACAGTGTCATTCAAAATATAACTTGTTTTCACTTATTATGGTAAATTTGTAAAGGAAAAATTAACGCTTTTTGAGATGTAAAATATTGATTTTTCCCCCTCAAAGCCACTATTATTATGTCAAATTAGTTTTGCAACCCACATAAATGCAGCTTTGTGACACTCAGGAGATGTCCTGTAGGAAGCTGGCATTTCAGCAATCATGTCTTGGAGTGCATCTGGATTAAAAGCCGTTCCACCTGATAAAACAGTCCAGTATCCCCATAGCTTGTAAAATTTACGAATGTAGGAGTGGAATAAAACACATCCATGGAATTATTAACACATTTATATAATGAGCAGCAAATAGTTTGGAGGGAAAGTATAAAAGGCAGCTAGTTGGTAGAAGTTAAAAACAAAACCAAACCAGTAAAGTACATGGAAATGATTCAGTCTTACTACCCAAACGATCTCTTTGCTGAGGGTCATGAAGTGAGCAATTGTCTTTCGAAAAGATGATAGCACAAAGTCAGGGTACCTTAGCTTCTCTATGGTTGTTTTTTTATTTGTAAAGAGCAGTCGTATCCAGGTCTTCCTTTTGAGATAAACCATACATCCAGCAGCAAGGAGACATAGGATGGTCACCAGAATTCCTATAGTTAAGCCTTGGTTATCTGAAACACAACATATTTAGCAGTTAAAACATGGAAGGTATCACATCATGACATCTGTGGCACAGCAGATCTTGAAGGAACAAACAGAAAAGAGGTGAATAAGTCCCTGAATGATATACTAATACATTAGCCTTGCTCCACAGGTCGAGTGTGGAGTTCAGTACACGCCACCATCATTTGTTCTGCCAACTCTGGAGCTTCCTAGACAGGAAGACACTCTGGTCGGTGGCACTGTGGTTGAACCACACAGCTCCCCAAGCCAGACAACCATGGTGCTTGACAGAAAGGTACTGGGACCACCAGCCAAATGTCATCAGAATCAGAGGTGCCCAAACTAAAATCTTTCCAGCCTCTTCACAAGCCAGCTGCTGGACTTGAAGTTCCCATCTCTCACTCTTGAGTATTGGAGGTCTGCTGTATCTTTTTTTTCTATAATTTTTTTTTTATAATGAGACTATTTCTGGATATCTCAAGAGAGTGAAAAGAAAAAGCTTGAATGAAGTTGCACCTGGATTTGTCATGTTAGGGACTTAACACTACAGCCTTTACAGGGTGTGCTTCGTGTAGGTATGCAACAGTCCTTTGGGGCTGCTGGTGACAGCCATGAGAGTGACTTCAATTACCCAGGCTCCCATTCCCCTCTCTCTTCAACCTCCAGCTGGTGGCAGACCTGAGCAGCACCAGCCCCTCTCTGTGGGAGAATGCCTTCTAACCTTGTTTCTGGACTTTGTCCACAGCTGACACATCCTATCAGTGGTGTGTCTGTGCCAGATTTGATTCACTTGTTAGTGTAGCTAGAAGAGCTTCAATCTGGTTTCCTGGCCAAAATGTCACTCATTTCAGACTCTTAGCAATACCAGGGGCTCTGAATAGAGTTCTTTTGTCTCATAACAAAGCTAATTAAAAAGGGAGCAACACAATTCTCAAACCATAATTTCTAACTTCTTAAAATTAACCTGTAAGTCTTAACCCAATCAATTTATCTAACAGAACACTTCCTGGGGCCCAACAAACTGCGTTTGGTGCACCCCTAGGGTCACCTCTTTCTGAGCAGCAGTGTCATTCCCTGAGTTCCCAGAGTGAAGCAGGGGCAGAGTTGGGACTCCATTGCCCTCCTCTGTGTCCTGCAGAGCTAGCTCCCCACATCCCCTCCCTCAGCCACCATCACCCCTGCCTGCCCTGTCCCACTTCTGGGTTTCTGCACAGCAAATCCAGCTCTGTTTAGAACACACTGTTCCCTGAGCCCTGCGGATCTCAGAAGACACAGGAAAGCCCCAGGAGCCTTTGGACATCAATCCCCATGCTGTTCCTGAGCCTGTGGCTTGCTCCCCCATTCTTCCCCTATCCCCCTACTTATCACACCATGTACTAACTCCTCTGACCTCTCTGGCAGTACTTGCTGAGCCAGAGAGCAGTGGGATGTGGGGACAGTGAGGCCAGGATGCTCTTGGTTCCACCTGCCTCTCTCTGGTAGGTGAGGGGAAGTGTTCACCATGTACCCCCCCTTTTTTTTTTAAAGAAATGAGAGCAGCAGTAGATGTAGTTAAATCCTTCAGGGGTTTCATTTTTAATGTTCTTACTTGGTGTAGTAGAGATGGAAGACTCTGTGGGTCCTTGACCTTTTGGAAACCATGAAACCTGAGTGCATTGGTCATGTACGTTCACACCAGAGAGAGACACAGAGCAGCCACCGTCTCCAGTCCCTTTGAATGCCATCAGGTTTGCTTGAACAGAGAGAATGGGTGGCAAGGCCTTTGATGGACTGAAAAAACAAACCCTTGCTATTTTTGCACAATGAGTGCAAGCAGTCCTGTTAGAGTATTCAGTTGCAGCAAGTGACTGGTTGTCAAGGCTTGAGATGGTATCTGGGAAAGAGCTTGCTGGGCCCAGCCCTTGCTTCTGACTACTGCAGTGGGCGCTCAGTAAAAAGCAGGACTTTCTGGGCCTTTTCCTACCTGCTCAGGGCCTGGGCCTGAAAAAGTGGAGACCTGGGGCTCTCAGGAGCAACACTGGAGCCCGTCTGTGTTTCACAGATGGTGACAGGGTATTCATTGGCCCTGCTTGTGCAGCTTCGGCAGATGTGCCTGGGAGGCTGGCCTCCTCTCCTGAGCCCTGCACACTCTGCCTGGCCCTGCAGAGCAGTGTTGTGTCTGTTGTCATAGAAACGGTGGCAAAGGCATAGTTTCAATGCTGCCAGTCACAGCAGGCCTTGGGGATGCCCGACCTCTTCTGCAGCAGCACACTCAAAGCATCATGGGGGTTCAGATATATGCCAAGGAGGCCACATCACTCCCCACCTGCTCTGGCTCCCCAGCCGTGCTCAGTGCCGACAGCCTGCCTCTTTTTTGCCTTGTTTCTTTCACTTTAAAAGGAATGTCCTTCAGACTTGTCCCTCAATTGCCTGACAAGAACTCAGAGAAAACAGCACTGTTCTAGGAGACCATGTCTAAAGGTCATCTGAGGAGAAGTGAAGGGAGGATTCCAACACAGCTGCTACCGTATCGAGAGTGTCTCTGGGAAGAGGGACTTGTGTTTCAACCTCTGCTGTGTGATGCTGGGCAAATTACTTAGATTCTTTGTGCCCAGGTCATTTATATAATCATCAAACCTGCTTCAGCATAGTGTGAGGAGCAGGTGACATCATGCGTAGGAATTGCTTAGCACGGTGCCTGAGCTCAGCTGCTCAATACACACACAGAGTCACTATTGCTGTTGCGGCTGCAGCAGAAACTATGGACTTTATTATGAAGTATCTGTCTTTCTGGTCAGAGTTTTTTAAAGGGCATTAAACATCACACCTTGCGGCTCCAGCACAGAGAAGGTAGGCTTTACAAAGTCCTTTAGCACGATGATGAACTTTAGACCCACTTGGGCTTCACTGCCTTAGCGTAGAAAAGTGTCACAGGCTGAGATCCTGCAAGCTTAGCCAAAGAGTGAAGGGCCTGACTGGGAGATGATCAGGTGAGAAGGACAGAGCACTGGAAACTGGGAGAGGCCTCGGGTGCGTCTGAGCCACATGAGGTCCCCCACCTCCCCACTGGCACCCATGCTGGCGCTGCACCCGTGCTTGTGCCCAGTGAGCCTACCTGGCTCCACACCACACCAAGAGCTCACTGCCCACCTCCAGGGACTCAGGGGCCTCACTCACCCGCTTGTCTGATGGGGCCGCTGTCCGTGCTTCCTCCAAAGCCAAACTTGTCACAGAAGGGAGGTGCCCAGTGGGCCTCGCAGTGGCAGTGCTTCCTGTTGTTGCACACCTTTTGGGACAGCAGGCAGGGGAGACACCCGGAGGTGCAGTGTTAGGGCACAGCCACTACACAGGATGGCAATGAGTCTGGCTGTAATCTGGTGCCACAGCAAAGCAAAAGCACTGAGGCCAGAGCCCCCATAAGCACCTACTCAGCCAAACTCAGTGAAGGTCACAGTGAGAACCAGCCCCAAAGAGCACCGTACAGTCAAGACTGGGGCCTGAGGCTGCATGAGCCAACATAACCCTGTGTCAGTAGCTACTAGGAGAACTACGGGTGTTATTAAGTCTCACCAGTTCCCTGCTCCTCCTTTTCTCTTCCCAGTCTGCCTGTCATTTTGAAATCCAAGAAACCCTCACTATCTGACTGTAAGGAGAAGTGCTCTCCAAAGTAACTCAGGACCTGCCACAGGGACACGAAATCAAACTGCCAGAGCATCTTGGGATCCAACAGGCTCTGGGCACACTTCTGCCACTTTCAGTAAGGAGGTTTACAGAGGCTGGGTGACTCTGGGACCTTCCTGCCCCCCTGTTTCCTGATACCTGCAAAGGTACACAGGAGTCCCAGTCTGTCATTCCTGAAATTCCCACCTGAGTTTTCCCGTGGCCATTTCCAGGCTCCCCATCATTCGTGGGGGGAAGACAACAATGAACTCTTCTCCTCATGGAATAAGAGGATGGCAAGCACGTGGTGCCAGGAAAGGAGAGGGGTGCTCTTTGCCCTTATTGGCTCTGGAACAGGTACCTAACTAGGAGACCAGCATTCTACATGGAGGGGCCTGGGAATGCTGTTTGCCTAGTTACCAGGGGTTACTGATGGCGGCTCTGGCCCACTTGGACTCATTACAGATACGTAAGTAGTCTACTGAAGTAGCACACAAGCCAGTGGCATCTCTGTGTGTTTCTGTGAAAGTCATTGAATCTTCTGACTGCATGCTGGATAAAGAAATCACTCAGCAGAATTTCTGACAAATTAGGAATGGGGACAATAGCAAAATGACCGAGAAAAGCTACGTAGAACAAGAAAGACTGCTCTCAGATGGCTGTTGAAGGTCTGAGCTTCCTCTCCACTCAAATAAACAAATTATACATTGCAGGTAATGAATTTGTGACTGGTTTATATGTGGATGTTAATGCAGAACTACAGTCAGTAAATCAATCCTGAAAGTTCTGCTTTAAAATGTTGGTGCCAAATATACACCTTAATATTTTAAGGCAGAATAAAATGCTTGAAGTATGTACCTCAGTTGTAGGGTTCTCTGCTTAAATTGACTTTATTTTCAACACTGTTGGTCTCTTTTTTGATGAGATCAATTATTTGGTCCCACTGCTTCCTATTTGAAGCCTGATAGTCAAGAAATCCTGGGATAAGTTGGGAAGTGTTATTCTATGAGGCTCCAATTAAGCAGGGTTAATTAGCCTGTGGCATAATGTATGCTAAATCCGAGTGTCTTGGTTGTTTCTTCCAAGATGCTCCAGCTGATGAACCACACATTAGATTCAGATCCACATCTTGCCTTGCACAATCTCCCACTGCAATGTACAGTCAGTCACATGGCCTTTTGAGCTTATGACTGAGAAACAGCAGTCCTGACACTTCACTAGGAGGTGACGCTGGAGAGCCTACTCTCATAAGGGGGAACTGTGGTTGATCAAGTTCTAGTCAGCTGCTCTGAAATCTGCACCTTTCTTCTCTGATGGGTTCATGAAGCCCTAAGGATAGTAGAGAGAGTCATCCAGAGCCCTCCCAGCTGGTTGCTGCTGACCAGTCTAGGTTGTGGTGGAATACCATTCTCCCAAAAGTGGTTTTGGCTTCAAGACTCAAACAAAAGGGCTGGACTGTTTTATCTCTTAGAGGCATTGGCAAGAACTTTATGTCTCCAGCCACACCACCCTGACCCTGCTCATTCTCTTCTGATCTCAGAAGCCAAGCAGAGTCAGGCCTGGTGAGTACTTGGGTGGGAGAGAGAACTCTATGATCTAAAGAAGACATAGACTCCAATTATACCAAGGATCAGCTAAATGCAGCATCATCAAAGTCATCAGAGGTGGCACTGCAATCCATTACGGTTACAGCACAATGGTAATTGTATGAAAACCCACATAATTTCATGTTAGAGTCATTGGCAAGTGTCACGAAGTTTTTATGAAGATTCCCATAATTCCATGTTAGAATCATTGGGAAATATTTGGGAGCTTTAAAAATAGAAATTGGAGCATGAGTTCTATAGAAAAGGTTTCAGAAAAACAAATGAACCACTGGCATGGCTAATAAAGATTAATATGATTCTATTGGAAATAATTAAGCCCATCAGGAGAAATAAATTATGTTTTAAACAATTAGAGTCCTCTTTTCCCCCGAAAGCTCCTCTGAACTAAAATAACAGGCTGTTTTGGTGGAAATCCATCGTAAGGGGTTTCAACAGCATGTGGCTAGTATGCTTTGCTGCCTCATTTTAATCCCTTTTGGGAGAGTTTTGGTTCAGACATATATTTGGAATTTTGGAAGCAAGAGAAATAGCCCTGTTTGAAACGCTAATGAGAAATGCTTCATGAAGGAAGGTTAGTGTTAAAATTACTTTAGTGTTGATAAAATTTGTTCTTTAAATCACAGAATGTTAATTTAAAAGATAATTACTATTCAATCTGATTTTCTTTGTTAAATGAAAATGACATTTCTTTTCCTATGCAAAGGTCAAAGAAAATTAATGTCTTTGGAAGAAAATACTGAGAGGGTACTGATGGCTATGTTTTCAAAAGCTGTGGATTAGGAAATGAATGAATTAGGTTGTTTTGCCTTGCTTGTCATGAGCTAGCTGAAAGAGGCTACTTACTCCTCGGCCATGGCACTGCATTGCACATTCATGGACGCCGAAGACACTAACGTTTTGACAGCGACGATTGAGGCAGATCTACAGGGGGAAGAAAACACAGCAAATGTTTTAGAACTTTGGCTCACCTGCTCCCATGAATGTATATTTAAAAAAAAGAAAAAGCAGAGGGAGGCCTGGAAGAGACTCCCTCTAAGCTAACAAGGCTACATGTGGCGTTTGACTCAGACAGGGTCCTGTTTGGCTCCAAACTCAGTACTTTCAGGACTAAGTCAGATGAAAACCCTCCCTACTGAGTTATCTTATACTTGACGGCATTTGAAATGGTTTTAGTTAATCCTGAAATTATAGCTGATTTTTCTCATGATTTTTGTTTAGGGTTTGCAGTAAAGCCTATATCTTGAGGGACCTTGGCTCCATTAAAAAAATATAGGAGGGCAAGGTGAATTAGTCCTCAATCTGGGACCTGTATAGATGGATAGATTCCTGGAATCCAGGGTCCAAGAATCTTTGAGGGGAGATACTGAAATGTGGGGACTGTTTCAAAATACTGACATAAGTAGCATCACTAATGGCATAAACCAGTGACACCAGAGGAAATCAGAGGCTCTTATGTGTTTATCAAGCAGAAGTGGGAATTTGCTAAATGACACTGAACTGGTGGAAAGAATTTGCCTCATTTCAAAGGTGCATGGTATATTCTAGACTCCAGAAATGAGGCCTTTTCTCTCCCACAAGATGTTACAAAGTAGCAGAATCAAAAAACAGTCTACTTTTCAGAATGCAAAGCATTTTAACCAAGTAGAACAGTCCTAGGGTGAAGGTCACCATCCTACCCAACAGCTCATGCAAGGCAAGCCCAAGGCCCTTTGAAGAAAATGTTGATCCCAGCAGCACTGAGGAATCTGTGGTCTCCTGGCCGAGAGCATTTGACAGTCCTGTCATATCCATATGACCAGCAAATTGTTCTGGATTGCAATGAACACAGCAGGACTCTGGTCAAAATCACAGTGCAGAGGTGCTGCTCATCTCTTGAACCCAAAGGCAAGGCCAAAGGCAGCTGCCAAGGATAAATCAAGCTCTTGGAATCTCAGCGTTTAGCTGATCCTGGCCCTGGCTGTTCAGACTATAGGTTAAAAAATGGTTTCACTATAATACTGAGACCCAAACAGAAGCTAATGTGATTAAGAGACAAGCAGAATGTGTCACGTGCTCTGTGGCCATCCTATTCCTTGGTCTGTGGTTTAGGGTGTGTGGGACTCCAGAGGTAAATGGAGAGCATTTCTGCCTCTGGGATTCTGTAAAGAAAACAAAGTAGGTATAGGTCCTTTCTTCTCTGTGATCTCTGTGTGAGTGAGTGATTTCATGACCATAATGAAAATGAGCCCTGAAAAAAGCATTTGAGAGTCGATTCATTGTTTTTTCTAAAGACATTTTATGAATTTGCTATCAGTCTGATGAGAAACGTTAGCCAAAAGAAATCCATGTGGCAGAATATGAAAATCTCAATTTCTTTAATTTTTTTTTACTTTATTTACAAATCTCAAAGCATTTCCAGATACTTTTCCTCTGTTCTCAAAAAGGACTTCTTTTTGGCACTCAACTGATCCCCTCTCTTTTTTCCTACATTTCTTTCTCTCTATGCATCTGAAAATCTATCTGACTTCCTATTCTGTCCAGGTAAGAACAAGCCCTGGAAAACTCCGTGCCAACAGCCAAGCCACATTTCCAAAAATAATATACTATGCTATTGTATTTCTTTCCGAAATAATTTTCTGGCTGGAAACCCTCGTGACACCCAGTGTGTAGAAATGACTTATTAACAATAAATGGCTGAGAAGACAAGTTTGATTTTTTCCAAATCTGTCTCTCACTGATCAGACTGTGATCTAGGATTTATTGACGTCTCTGGTAGGTGTAAAGAATTGGATTCTAGGACCACATTCAATGAAGTGGGTTTAGAAAAATAAACCAAACTTGTACCCTAGTTCTTAAATGGGCTGTCTTTCAGTGGCCCTGTTTCAGACTTACGTTTATGGTGCAAGAGAGAATTTGGATCTTACTTTTCCATCCGCACATTTTGTCCCTGCAAGCACAAGCCCTGGGTCGGGCATGTCATCACCCAAGTACACATGGGTCCCTCGGCATAGAATCCGACCTCCTTCCTGCAGTGGGATATTTGTTTCTATGGAAACGGCATTGGTACCAATGACTGGTCGGCTGGCACCTCCTTGACACTGGATTTTTCCACATTTAGCATCTCTGGAAGGATAAGAAGAAACAACCCCAAAGAAGAACAGTTTGGAAGCAACCCTTAGCCATGTGGGATAGCACAGTAATAGCATTTGGGAAATACAGATGGCATACCTTGTCTCACATTTGGCAAAGGAACTCTTGGAATCTTTGCCACAGTTGCCATAAGGATCACCTGCTGAGTTGACTCTTTCAAAGCAGATCCCAGGGGCAGGTTTAGCACCTGAAACAGGAACACAATAGTACCTTCATCACTGGCAAGGATTTTTTAGTTTTCTTTGAATGGTGTTGGACTTTGGGGTTAGGAGGAAAGTGTGGTGCTCAGAGAAATTGCACGCTGCATCTCAGCCGACTCATGATGGGAGGTGGCTGATGGAAGCCCAGTATGAGTAGCTAGCATCACATCTTGGCTCAACTCATGGCAAAGCTTATATTTCATAGCTCACACTTCTCTAGGGCTGCTTGAGTACCAAGGGCATGTGCAGCTTCTCAGGGGATGAGGCCTGGCTATGTGGCCGGATTTCATTCTTAACAGGAAAGAGTTGGCTGGCTGGCTGCAGCAAAGGGAAGCTTGCTGTCTTTAGCAACATCCCACACAATTCCGGTGAGAAAATGCAAGCTAGGTTAGGTTCCAAAGAGCAATGATGACTAATGTGGGGAAGCAAGGGGTGGTAAAGGAAGGAGGGACAGAAGGAAAGGGAGAAGGACAAAAGGAGAGGAGGGAGAGGGGGAGGGAGACAGAAAGAGAAAGAAAAAAAACAGTAGCAAATAAAGCAGAGATCTTATATAATGTTTTTAGTCCTAGAAAGCTCCCTATAAGAGCAAGCACTGGCTTCAGTTAATGCCTACTTTTGCAAGGCAGATATTGCTCTGAGGCTACAGAATCATAAACTCTGACAGTCACTATGTACATCATGACAGTCCCCAGCAGAGAAAGTCATAGTAGCTGGAGAGCTCAGGAAGCAACCATTTAAAAACCATCTTTCATTCAGGTTAAAAAAAAAAAAGCATCAAAGTGAGGTATATGGTGTCAAAATTTTGGAGAGTTCTTGAGTCCTGTGCATAGTGGTCTTCTATTGAAGACCACCAGGAAGTCAAAAAACATGGCGCAATCTTCAGAGTAAACTGTGCCCTGAGGTGTAGTCTTGGCCCATCTTTTCTCCCACATGGCATCCTATTTGGGCACTTTCTCTCACATCACTTTCAACAGCCAGGATGTCAGCTCCCCACAGCCCAGATCTGGTCTTCCTTTTCTTGCTGTCTGGTCCAGGGAGGAACCATTTACCTTCAGAGGTGGCAGGAAAATTTAGATTCCAATCAGATGGTGGGCAAGGCTCCTGTCCTTGTCCTTAAATACATCTATCATTCTTTTACCAGCGCTTGACTTTTCCTCATCAGCTACTAGCTGATATGATTATTCCATTAACAATTAAAAAAAAACCAGAGAGACAAAGCAATCCAATACAACCACACTTGCCCCAGCACAACCACTTAGAGCCTCTGCCCTAAGTCACCCAGTCCATACCTCTCACTTCCTCATTTATTTTTTGAGGTGTCTCCAAACTCACGTAAGAGGCAATATCTCAAATGCACACAATTCTCTGTTGTGGAACAGGCCAGGTTTTCGGATCTTCTACCTCCCATTTTTTTTCTTCCATCAGAAGTCACATCATTTTTGGTCATAGTATGGTTAAAACTCTGACATGATCAGCATCTGCCTAGTATAGATCTGATTCTTCTGTATTCTGTCCTCTAATTCTTATCTTCCTATCAGAGGAGGGATATGCAAGGCAAGTCTCAAGGTGGAACCTACACTTCATACTTCTTTTTCTCATTGAGTTTATTGGTACTTTTAAGGTATACAGTAGTTATATTCACCATTGGGACCTTGTACCTTTACCTGATATACCTTGGTTCTCATTTTTTTCTCCATACTCCTGCCCTCCCTTCACCTTCTGCACTTCATACTTAAACTTATTTGATGGTGCTTTTGATCAAAATGCTTGAATTCATTTGATCAGTGCAGCCTGGAAACACTAGAATACCTGCTATGCAATGGGTGTGGGTGCCTTTGTATGCTCCCTGCTTGCTTACTGTTTGCCTATCTGGCTTCGTCTCCTTCGCAACCATCCATCCTATCTTTTGTTAGCCTCCTCACTTCCTTCCTGCCTTCATTCCACCCATTCATTGTATCACAAACTTCAACCATACACACATATTTATTTGGCACTTAAATATTTTAGAAATCAGGGGTAGAGTGGCGACTGCACTGGACAGAATGATTTGCTTGGAAATTGCAAGGAGAAACAAAAAAAACAAATAAGTAAACACACCCCCCCCTGAGGTCCAGTGGTAGGGGTGCCATAAATGAAAAACAGAGTAAGGGGCTCCAGGATATATATTTGCATATATATAATATTAATTTTATTTTTTTCAGACAGGCTGGTCTGGGAAACTCTCTCAAAGAAGATGCCATGAGTGAAGCCCACCATTGAATACTGTCAGTGATCCCATAAGGTAGGTCTAGTTTTACAGATTAAAAACCTGGATAGAAGAGGCTAAATATGTTGTTTAAATTTATGTAGCTCCCCAGCACAGGATCGTCTGAGGTCAAGTGCGCCTATTCCCCCAAGTGCTTGGCTATGGGGGCCTCACACCTGCTGACCCTGCACTGGGTCTTAGGGTGGAGAGCAAACTAAATCCAGTCTGCAGCCCAAGTGACTCCAAGTTCCATTGCGAGGGATACAAAGTGCCACTGAAGGGCTGATGAGAGGAGGTGGGAAATGGCTTTGTTCCTTCTTTTCCTACTTCAGAAGACCAGAACAAAAGAGCTGGCCAGCAGCTTCCAGGGGATGCTAAGCACTTGGGACAATGGATAGAATTCGTGCCACTCTGAAACTGAACATGATGCTCTTCGATATTATATGAATTCTGTCAACCTTGCTATTAGAATTTCTCTTCTTGGAGTTCCAAAAGATACTGGGCTCAGGAAGATTGTGAATGACCAGACACCTTGAGAAATGAAGATGAAGAAAGAGAATCTCATCTGAAACTCTGGAAGTTTTTTCCTCCACATACTTTGCATAATGGTATCTGTTGAAGACCATGAGGGAGTCAGGAAAATGTGACAAATCGAAGATATGGTCACAGCTCATGGATTTCAACTTCTCTTCATCCATCTCTTTTTTTGCTACATTCAGTCAGTAAGGCTCTTTGCTGCTCTTGAGTCCTGGCCTGCTCTGAGCTGGACCTCTAGAACTCTCTGAGTAGGTGTTATTTAGAAAGTGACAGAAGGAGACCCTGAGTAAAAGCACTTGACTCTGTATTCCACAGGAGGCAAAGTCATAATCCCTCTTACTCCTCTGCTCACCGTTAGTGAACAAACACACCTTAGTAAATGATAAGCTTTAGGCCACAGATATGCCATCTGTTGGGTATCCTACCATCAGTAGGTACTGTATTGGGTACAGCATGCAGAATATTTGATCCTTATCACCTCTCATTTCACAGATTTTAACACTAAAGCTCAGGGTTCTAACAACTTGCCAAAGATCACAATGTAAGGGGCAAAACTGAGTTTGACTCATTAATCCAAAGCTAAAACTGTGATCTTTCCATCCATCAATGATCCCATGCTGCTTTCTTTTTTTCTAATTACTTAGTTGGCAACAGATATCTGTGCCTACTGTTCCTTCCTCTCCAGGACACCAACATACTCTTATAGTCCACCTGCCCCAGGACTTGGCTCCATCTCTACCAAATCTTTTTCCCAAAAGAGTAACTAAACATGCAGCTCTGAGGCCAGTGTCTTCAAGCTAACATCTAGATGTTTAACTGAACTGGAAAACACACGCTCTTGAGTCTGAGCATGTCCAGTCGCATTTCCCTCCAAGAAGGGGAGTTATTGGAGTGACGTGGTGGACAATTTTATGCCTTTTTGTTGAATCTCTACTGATTTGTGAAAATAAATGAATAATTCTGAAAATAACAATTTGGAAAGTTTTGGGAGATAAGCCTAGTAGAGTTTGGTCAGTGAAATTCACTTCACTCTGGGGTAAGTCATCCAGCAAATTGAACAATGCAAAGTCCTAGAGGTTGACTTTCTGTTTCCCCCAGCAAAGCAGTAAGGGTTTCTTTCTAAGAGTTTTATGCACTTAAGCTGTCACTCAAAACAAAAAGGAGCAGGAAATGCCATGCCTGACGTGGTCAGGACATGCTGTTGCCCAATGGGGCACAACAATGACAGTATTCAATGCAATGTGGCAAAGAAAATTGACAGTTGGATTAGAGGCAGGTCATGATTTCATCAGCTACATAAACTTGAGATAGATTCTTTTCTCTCCATGGAGCCAAAGGCCAGAATGATACCCCATCTTTGCATTCTTTTTTTCTGGAGAATTAAGGGAGAACATGGTATGATGGTAATTCATGGCCAACTTTGACCAGGAAGGTCTTTTGTATCTTCCATTCTCAAGCCCTTAGGGACTGGAAATGTCCATCAACATTCCAAACCTACCATTATATTAATTGGAGCAAGGCAGGGAGATGGAAAGAGGGCCTTTTTCATCAAGCTGGCCAGTGTTTCCTACTCTAGAGTCTCCAGATTGGGATGAGTAACCCCCCAGGAGAAAAATAGATTCTTAAAGGCCAGTTGGAAATGAATCACATTTATCACTTGGTCTACTTCACAACATGCTCCTGTTGCTCCTACTTCCAAATGTAGGTTGTAGGATGGTTCCATGCAAGGTTCTAGCTCACTTCCTGGGGCAAGACAGGTCCCAGCTGGAGCTCACCAGCACCACTCAGCACTGCTTCTCTAGCACTGCACACTGGCCATGGTCCTCCCAGCGATCCCCACTTACAGGAGAATTTGTGCAGTAGGGGAGGTTTTCTGTGGTGGTTTGGAGAAATATCTGGAGTTTGTAACAATGAGCCACAGTGCAAAAGACATGGAATTGTTTGATGATTGTGTCCAGTTCCTCTCTTACATCCCTTCTTTTCAGAACAAAAAGAACATTTTTCTAATGGGAAATCCATTTTATGTGGTTCAGGTGGAGCTAACTTTCCCAAACAATGCCAGAGAGATGAATATAAGATTTGGTTCTGGCCAAGCAGAATGGTTTGTACAGTTGGGTTAAAGCTAGGCACGTGGCTGAAGTCAGGTAAATCAGTGTAATTTTTCTAGAGCTACTGTGTCCTGCAGGGTCTCCCTATATCTCTTCC